CGCTGCCCATGGGGGGGCGGGGCGGTGGGGAGGGAGCGCCCAGATGCGTGGAAGCGGAGCTGCCGGACTCCCTACCATCCTTGGCGGGGCGGGGGGTGGGCAGCAGAACTTCCCTGGGGTTGCGCCGAAGCGAGCCGGTGTCCACGGGTGCGCTATCTCCTATGCCCGTTCTTAAAATTTGATCAGGTTGAGGCGGAACGCCATCTCTTCCCTTCCCTTCCCTTCCCTTCCCTTCCCTTCCCTTCCCTTCCCTTCCCTTCCACCTTTAAATTTAAAAAAATCGAAAAGTAAACTCGTAGCGGCGTGAAAAATCATATATCAAGCAATGTAAAACAAAAGCACGGAGCGCAGAATTCACCTGCGGGCATTGTGAGGCGTTGTTTTGGGAAGGGTCAGGCCCGTGAGCCGAAGCTGCTCCGAGGTGCCTGCTCCCAGGTAAAGGTGCACAGAGCTTGTTTTTAATCTGTATTTTGTCTTTAGCCGTTCCTCCCACCCACGACTCCCCCTTTTTGCATTAAATCAAGATACAAATCTGATACAATACATGGTATTTCGAACAGGAATGAGCATCACAAACATGCCCCAAAATTATTTCTCGGCCTGGGCGCTCCGTCTGCGAAGCAAGAACCCAGCCAGGGCGCGCCGGGCTGCATGCGGCGACGGGCGGGGCAAAGCTGCACAGGAAGCGCCGAGCGCGCCCGAGTAGCACCTCGTCTGGGGAAGACGGGATCTGAGGGCTGCGCTTCCCCAGGACGGTGAATGGGGCCGCAATCGACACCAACTTCGGTGGGAACAAGCCCCGCTGAACGCATGGCATTTCGGAACGGGCATGAGCAGGAGCGCCCTGCGAGGCCCATCCGGAGCATGAACCGCTGAGGCGCCGTGCGGAGTGCGGCCCGTTGCTATTCTTGGAAAGGCATGGCGCCTTCTTTTTTTGGCCCCCGTAACTTGTTTCAGGGGTCAGTGCGCAGAAGTCCCCGCGGTGCTGTGCCTGGCAAGTGGCGTCCCTCTTGGGAATGAATTAACGGCTCGCCTTGGTTAGAACACTGGACTGGAGTCGGGAGATCCGCGTCCCAGTTCCCACTGGTCCCAGCAGCTCATGGGGTAAAGCTGAGCCAGTCATCGATTCTCAGCCTGACCTACTTCGCGGAGTACCAACTGTTTTTACTGGCTGGGTTGTCAGGATAAAATGGAGGAGGGTTCTGTATACCGACTTGAGTTCCTTGCAGGAAAAAGGAGGGTATAAATAGAATAAATCATAAAACAAAACAGACGCTAATGAAAGCTACGATTCGCAGCAATTTTTTATTTTAAAAACTGGATTAACTAATGTGCGTAGAGAGGTGGGGAAGGCACTGCTATGCCCATAACTTTTTAGCTGCTTTCACAGCTGGCGTTGTAAATCCAGTTTAGCCCCGAGGGAACCCTGAAAGGACTGTCCGCAGCACGCCTGGGAGCAGCCAGCCGCCCCCTCCCTGCCTGCCCCGTAGAAGCCCTGGGCGCCTTCGGTGGCAAGCGAATTTCCGGCGAGCTGCATCTTACTCGCCCGTGCCGCTTTCCCCACTTGGCCGCGGGATGCTGGTTGTTCCAAGCCAACGCGCTGGGAGAGCATCAGTCCCGGGGGTAGGCAACCTCGAGCCCCCCAGATGTGCTGACTACAGCCCCATCAACCCTGGCCAGTAGGGCTAATGATCAGGAATGATAGGGGTTGTAGTCCTAAACATCTGGAAGGGACCAGGCGGCTACCGGTGGAGCCAGTCGTTGGGTCAGAACCGCAGCCTCGATCGCGGCCCGGAGCCTCCGGGGGCGCCAGGACGGGCCAGGCAGGGCGCTGCGTGCGCACAGCCTGCTCGGGCCGCGGGGATGCTCCGGGGCGACTTGGCCTGCGGCTGCTTTCCGCCCCGGATAGCTCCTCGGAGAGAGCAGCAGGTTCTCCCGGCTGGGGATGAGCGGCGCGACGGGGAGGGGAGAGAAGAGGAGAGGAGGAATTCGTGGCCTAAGGAGCTCACGCAAATCCCTCGCCAAGAAAATCTGGATCTCTGGGCTGAAACACCGGCTTCCTGCTATGGAAACAGTTGAGAGCAACCCAGAGGATTAGTCGCATTCCACTCCGGATCATTCCTCCCCCTCCGACCCCCGCAACGCGCCCGTTCCTGGCGACGTTTCCAAACGAGCGAGCCTTTCCCGAGCCATAAACAACGTCCAGCGAAAATGATCTAACGGGGCTTTCCGGGCCGCGCGTCCCCTCGAGCTGCTCCTGCCTGAAAGCTGATGCGGGCTTTTGACAGCAGGAAGCGGTTTCACTCCTTTTCCGTGAAACATTCATGGCCCGAACCCTTCACGTCTGGTCGCTCCTTCTTTTGCAGTCTGCTCTGGGGATGCGGAGGCGGAAAGCGCGCCTAGCGGCGGCGGGACCGAACCGGCGGCGACGTGGTGACACTCGCAGTGACCCGTGGCAGGAGCAGCAACCCTCCGCTTTCCCGTGGGCGCAGGCGGCGCGTTTGGCCCCCGCTGCTCAGCCGACGGGGCTCTCGAGGTCGTTTACATACCAGGAATGAAACAAAGCCGTCCCTTCCGACAGCTCTGCCGTCCTAAAGCCACCGCACAAAAGGGATGAAGAGGGAACAAGAAGATGCTACGCGCTCAACACTGTTTCCGAGATGAAAACAGGCACCTTTATTTTTAGTCACAGCTGCTTGGGGCAAAAGAACTTCCGCCGTGTGCCAGAGAGCGCACAATGCAACCCAGGGATTGCCTGGCAGCTGACAGAGCTGGGGAAGCCCTCACTCCATGGAACAACCGTAGAAAAGTCAATTTCAGTTCTTCTCAATTTCAGCGGGCACAGAACGGTCTATTTCTCCATATGCCACATCACCCAGCTCCCAAGTTAAAAATTTCAGTAGCTAGTTATCCAAAAAAGGATTTTCAAGCTTGCATGTCCCACAAGCTGGAAAAGAAATAGATATTCAGCTTGTCAAATGGGTAAAAAATGTGCACGACACATATTGTTTTGGTTCGTGTTCTTGTCTTTGTGCCTGCTTTTATGTGTAAATGTGTTTTTAATTTTTGGCTCCTGTTTCATGTTTTTTTCTCTTTGGTACTACTTTGAGAAACTTCTCTTTTGGAGGTAGGTAGGTAGGTGTGTGTGTGTGTGTGTGTGTGTGTGTGGCAAGCTGAAATGGGGCACACATTTCTTAAACAATATATAGATTTAGTTGGAAACAAATGGTTCATAATACACAAACTCAGATCAGCATCATTAGCACCAGGGACTTTGGTCACACCAAAAGCTGTGTGTTTTGCGCCAGCCCAAATGCTGAGGGCTGCAGAGCTCCTCACTGTTGCAACAGGGTCGTCTCCGTTTCAATCAGCCCTCACAGCATCGTGACTACAGGCTTTAATGGACAGTCTTATGAACCGAGTCCATTATTATGTATTTATTTTTAAAATGCATAAACCACACCGATCACCCTGCTAGGCGCTCTCTGCTGGGGCTCCCTGCCAGAGCTCTCTGGGTTCTCAGCACCCCGGTTATGACCTAGTCCAGACATGGTTGCACATTACAAATGGGACTTGCAAGCACAACCTCGTTGGTCTTGGCTGGGGCCCCCAGCCAGCAAAGCAATCATGCCAGGTTCCAGAACACTGACCTATTCCATTTCTCCTCCCCACCTTTCCCGTCCCTCCCACAGGCGGCCAGCACTCTGTGCCCACTGGGCATGCTCAGTCCACGCTAGGCTATTTTAGGGTAGTTGCTGTAGTTGCCACTTGGGTTCCTTGCAGGAAAAAAGCAGGCTATGCATATAAAAGCTAAAGACCTAAAGAAATAAGTAACTGAAAGACTTAGCCTGATGGGACAGCACATGCTTTCCACCCAGGCTCAGTTCCCTCCTCGTTTGGGTTGTGGAAGATGTTGATCTGAAAACCTGGAGAGCTGCTGCGCCTTAGTGAAGGTAGCTGACACTGAACAAGATGGACTGACTGGTCAAAGCCTCCCAGAGTAAGCCAGTCTTGAGGTTCAGAGGCATTTTATCTCTGAAGGCAGGAGGAAGGGACCCTCCAAGGATGGGATGAACTGCCACCTCTGATGCCAACATTTTTCTGTTTTTGGCATCAGATCTCCTGCTTCCAGGCATTTGGCAGCCCATGCTAGATTTGTAAGTGGTCATGGGATATTGTTCAGATATGTGCATTTGTGTCCACTGTGTGTGTGTGTGTTTTGCTGGTAACTAAATGGCTTTCATATTTTGCATATTACTGCATTTTAAGGTTCTTAATCACCATAAACTACCCTGAGAGTTTTACCTATTGGACAAATGTAGAAATGCAACGCTGCAGTGCAATGCAGTCTTGAGTGTAAGTCGCTGGGAGCCATCGCAGGGAAGCGCTGATGGTGGGCTTTCAGAAGCCTGTGGCTGGAACCTTTGAGAAGCAGGACACTGGAAGTAATAGGACTGCAATTCCAGCCTGCAGTTGGGCACACTGTGGATACCAATTAGCGAGTGGGACCCTTGGTCTAATTTTCCGTAGAGCCGTACCTTATTGCACCCTCTTCCGACCTAGTGCCCTCCAGATGCGTTGGACTGCGACTCACCCCCAGCCAGATGTAGCCCGTTGCTGCCTCACTCCTCTTCTGCCAAGCAATACTCTGATGGTGTTTTCCTTTCATTTCAGCCAAATTCTATTCCAGCTCCCCAGCTTTCCGCATCATTTTGACTGGCAGCCTGCATTTAAATCTTCCAAATAAAAAGGTGTATTTAATATCAGCAGATAAGGCATGGTCTGCACATGTGTAAGAAGGCAGTCAAACTCACAGTCCTGTTCTTCCCATTTGCTTGGCGAAAGTTTCCACTGAAATCAATAAGACAATTCACACATATATTTAGGAAAGACACAAGTTTGGTTTGGGATGTTTACCTAGGAATAAATTCGACATAATTTACATAGGATCAGAATAATTGTGGTTAGCATAGGGTGCCGGTAAATATAATAATAGAAACTCACTGAATGTAGTCGTGGAAGGGGGAAATAACCAAGTCTGACCGAGTGTGTGAATAAAAACCGACGGAGTCCCCGCTGAGGTCCACGACGCCCTTATGAAATCCACCCCACTGGACGGTGACCGAACTGCTGATCTTCACTTTGGGGCTTGTGCTGCAGCCCAACGGGGAGAGGTGGGGAATCGCTGCGCAAGTGCGGAGAGCCGGGGGAGGCGGGAAGCCGGGCAGCGCGGCGGAGGAGCCAGAGGGTTGCGTGCGAGCCAAGGGCGGGCGGGCGGCCGTGCGTGCGAGCCAGCCAGCCAGCCGCGGGAACGGGCGCCCGCCGGACGCTCGCGGCAGCCGCGGGCTTCCCCCCGCTGGCTGCGTCACGGCGGGGACCGACGCGGGGGGCGTGGCTTCGCATGCCAAGGAGGAGGCGGGCACCCGGCCCGGGCGGGGCGGGCGCACCCGCGTGGCCCGCCGGAGGGTTTGCTGCAGCGGGGCGGGCGGAGCGGGAGGGCTCCTGGTGGCAGCCGCGCGCCGCCGCTCCGTCCGGGGCTGCCGTCCCTCGGGGGCGGGCCAAGCTGGAAGCTGGGCTGGGAAGCCCGGTCGCCTCCGCCGGCCGCGCGGTTTCCACCCGGGGCGTGGCGCCGCGGCTGGGCTGAGCCACCGCCCCGCGCGAGGCGCAGCGTTGCGCCAGGCAGGCGCGCTCCCCCTTCCGCCCGCCCTCTCCTCCGGCGCCCCCGCCCTGCTCGCCGCGCGGACGGACGCGCGGTTTCTTCGGCGAGGCGCGCGCGGCCGCGCTCTGCTTGTGCGCGAGGCGCTGTATCTGGCGCGTTGCGGCGGCGGCGGCAATATTACCTCTCGAAGGCCTGGCGGCAGCCGCTCCAAGGACCGGGACCGGGAAGGCCCTAGAAGGTGCAGTTAAGAAAATCGTTAGCACGTTATCCAGAGATGGGAACGGGCGGCCACCATCAAAGCGGCGCCTGTGAATTTAAGTGGCAGTAGTGCTAAAGCACCGTGCAGGGTTGCTCCAGGAATCCCAGAAAGTGCGATTGTATTCTTGCTTAGACCGAGAAAAGCTCTACAGTTGCTAGCATTCTCCAGTGCTCTGGGTAATGCTAGGAGTTGTAATTTTATTTGCCTAAGCATGCCTAGCGCTGAGCTTTTAGTCACAATGAAGCAAAAAATCCTGTACGCCCAGACCTGCAAGTAAGCCTCATTGAAATCAGTAGAACTTGCTTTTGAATGGACATGTATAGGTTTACACTGTAAGGGTGTAATACTACACACTTTCTTGGAACTAAGTCACATTCTAAGACACAGAAGTTTGAGATAAGTGGTTTCTCCTGATTACTGTCAACAGCTGCATAAAAACATGGATATCATTTTGGGACTGGACTTTAAGAATATAGTTCAGGTACTGGAGATGGGGAAGTTTTAATTTGCTTCATTTGAGCACCTTTATTTGTTTTGTTGCTATTAAACATCTCATACAGTTTCCTAGGCCCTATTTTCACTTGGAAACCAAGTCCAATGCTTTCAATATAACTTACGCCACCAGAAAGTTAAAGTAATAACATTTACAAAAGAAGCAGCAATACCATTAAACCAACTTGATTGTCTGGGTTCTTATTGCTAGGAAATATTTTGCAGAATAACCATAAGCATATTTATGCAATAAAGCATATTTATTATCCAATCAAAACCAAACTGCGACAAAGACCATTGCTCCAATAAACCTATGACACCAAAGGCAGCCCTATTGATTTTGGCACCATTTCTACATTGTGGGTGCAAACTGGCAAATATTAAGCACACTTATGTGCTTTGCAATGTCATCTTAGGCATGTTTACTCAAAAGTTAGTTGCACCTTGTCCAACATTTTGGCTTTCAAGCCCCATTGGACCCAACCAGGTAGCCCATAGTGAGGCATGTTGGGAGTTGTAGGCCAAATTCCTGCTATTCATGCATTATGTTACATTACACTTATACCCTTTCTTCCTCTTGCATGGAATCCAGAGTGGCTTCCATGATCCTTCCCTTCCTCTCCATTTAATCCTCAAAACAACAACTGTGTGAGGTGGAGAGCCTGTGAGTGATCCAAGTGAGCTTCGTGGCTGAGTGGGGACTAGAACCCAGGTTCCCTGAGTCCCAGTCCCACGTTCTTGACCAGCGCACCACACTGGCTCTCTACACTACACAGGATAGAGGCACTCGGATAGGGGGAGCTTCCCTGAACACGCTGGGGCTTGCTTCGGGGTAATTGTGATGGAGCTCCATGCTACCATGCTCTTCCTTTATTTATTGAATTTATCTGAGCATCTCCCGTTAGCATCATGCTTTCTGGATCAAGAGTCCGAGTCCCTTGAAGATGGTGGGACTTGCAAGTGGATAATTTTGTCTCTGTCATGCTCAATGGAGTTGTAAGGATTTAATCCGTACTATGACAAACTGCCTGATCCTATCACTTTATTCAGAAGAAAGTTCCATTGGGTCGTCTTTGGTGATAGCCCGACTTTGGTGATAGTGAGTAGGCTCACTAAAATGAATGGAACTTAGGTTCAGTCAGTAATCAATACAACTCATGGATGCTTATGGGAATTACTGCAAAGGATTAGAGTCCCACTGAAATGCATGGGACTTCCAGAGAAGAGTAGTTAGAATGCTGTGACAATCTTAGCAATGCAATCCTGAAAAAAATAGGTAGAAGAGTTCACTAGTTAGTAGCATGTAGGTCCACTTGGATGTGCCAGAAACCCCTCAGGTGATCACAAATGTGATCGTGGCCCCTCAATTGATCTGTGTTGATTCCAATACAAAAATGGTTGGAATTGGGTCCCCTTTAAGCAGGGATGACAAGGGAGGTTTAGACCAGAGCATCAGAAGGGTGGCCCCTTTGAAGTTTTCCCTTGCCCCAAAGAGAGCTGGTGGTCGCTTTTCACCACCAGATCATCTGTCCATTATTCTCCAGTCTTGGCCACACGGCGAATCCCCTTCCAGTGTCATGTCAGCCTCCACAAGCCTCCTTTCTTCTCCTTTGTTTTTAATTTTCTTTTTTGCGGAGACTAAACAGCTCCCAAATGCGGATTGGCAGGCCTGAGCACCTCCCTTCACTTCACTCTGCCTGCCTTGCCATCTATCAATCCACCTTTCTAATTAGACTAATTAGGAGATCTGTGGACTCTTGCAAGCCTCATGGACTAAGTGCTGAGGGGTTTATGAAAAGACCCCCTGAATACCCGTCATGGGAGGGCGGCTTTTCAGGAGGGTGGTAACAGTTGCCACCATTATCCCTTCCCATTGAAAAGAGCTCGATTAAAATGTTTGGGAACTCTCGCCTCCTTCGATCCTGCCCTAATTAGGGGCCTGGAGAGATCACTCACAGGGGGGAGGGAAAGACCCCCCTCCAGGTTCTTGCCTTCTTGCCTTTGCTGGACAGATCTGAAGGCAGAAAGAGATTGCAGCTTTAGAAGGGGAAAAGAGACACTAGCCGTAGTCCTTTTATCTCAGCCCCACACAGAGATAGCTCTTAGGAGCTCTCCCACGTCCTTTCGTCCCCCTCCTTTGACAGCATATTTGGATCCAGGCCCCATGGTCCTTCAGCCCCTGAACATGTGACAGAGCCTCTGAGCTTGTGGAGAGTGCGTTTCCATGATCACAAAGCAGCTGTAGTCCAGCACTACAGAGGTATGGATAGGTGGCAGGATCATTCCATCTCTGAAGGTAGTTTACTGCCAGAGTAGCCCTGCACTGCAATTTTGAAAGTAACTGCTATGTGTGTGTGTGTGTGTGGGGGGGGGTGTTAGGTAGGAGATGAGGTTCCTCTCAAGGCATTGAAGTGGAGACCTTTGGATGATGGAGGAAATTTTGCTAGTGGGTCAAAAGGAAACCTTCCCCCACTGCTCTGATGAATACCTATTTTTAATCTGACATATTCCAGCACAGCATCCCAGTACATCCTTCTGTCTCATTAAATTTAATGTGAAAATCCAACATTAAGGGGGTGCGTGCATGTGTGTGTGTAAGTGGGCCACATTCCTAAACATACTTTGAAACAAGTTCTATCAAAATCCTTTAGACTTTCATCTGAGTGGGGTTGACTGGTGCCAAAAGAGGTAAAGCCAAATAATTTAACTTCCCTAGCTACTGCTTTGTTTGTTATATTTATATCCTGTCCTGAATATTTATATTCTGTGTTCCATAACCCTCCTTATTTACATTTTATTCTCAGAACCACTCTGTGGGGTAGGTTAGGCTGGGAGTCATTTACTGGCCCAAGGCCACCCAGCCAGCTTCACGACCAAGTCGGGACTACAGCCAGGTCCCAGCCAGCGCTCTAACTGCAACGCTTCTCTGGCTCAGTGAAAGAACCCACAAGGAAAGCTCCCTTGGGGAGAGGCTCCGTATGCCACTAGGCCAGGGATGTCTTTTATTTTGACTGGCAGTTCCCAGCTGGTTTCCCATCACCTACCAGCGGTGATCCACATCACTTAAGATACCAGGGATGAACCCGAGGCCTCCTGCATGGAAAGCGGGCACTCAGCTGCTGACCTCGCAGCTTTGCAGTGCAGCTGCTTTCCCCTCCTGCACCTGCTTAGCACCCCGACTAGTGTGTAAATAGGCACACCTTTCCTGATCTTGGTCCAGCGTTTCAGGTTCTGTCTGCCTTGCTCGAGGAAGTTCTGAGGGAAAGGAGATACTAATAAATCACGGGTTTGGTTGGAAAGGAGAGGGACAGACAGAGAGGGATCGTCCTGGCTTGAGAGTCGGGTCACACCTGATGCAGCTGAATTCTGTTCTAATCTCCAGCTTAGCTTTGCCTGGTTTGCTTCTAAAGATGGAACAAGAAGACGCTTCCAGCTGTACACAGAGGGCTTTGCCACAGTAGATTTCCTATGGTTCTGCTATAATCCCTCTCAGTGGAAAAGAGCCAGATGTACAAAGAACTATCATCAGGTCAATGTTCTTAATCTTGTTAGGTTAGAAAAAGGGAACCTAAGCAAAAGATATTATTAACTAAATATCAGCCCATGCTGTTCTCAAATCTTGAACTATAAGCTCTTTTTCTTTTTTTAAAGCCAGATACAACTACTGGAAGGTGGTGTAACATGATCTCACAGTCTTGACTCTTGGTGCTTCATCCTGGCTGATGGGCACCTGCTCTGCTCTACCCAGTTGCCCGTCAGTGTGGCAACTGTATGGGCAGGAAGGTGCTGGGAAAAGCGCATGTCAGTTCCCCTCTTTTTAAAACACTGTCTTCTGCCTGCAGAGAATACAATGTCAGCAGGGGCAGGAGGTGGGTGGATTGATGCAAAAAAATAGTCATTTCCCTCCAGGTGCACTGTGGTCCAAATCTGAACAGGGCCTCAGGTGCTCTCATACCTAACTACACTGTAGCATATTGAGCCAAGTTTAATTTGGCCCTCTGTTTCACTGAGCATGACTGCTTAGGAAGACATCTTGCTGGTGCATTGCAGAGCCAGAGGGGAAGTGGTATTATCTCCTGGGAAATAATAAGTTGAGTTGCAAGACTATGCATTAAAAGAACAACAACAGCAACCCCCCCCCCCCCCCCCGCAACTCCCAGCATGCCCCAATTGCCAGTGCTGGGAATTGTAGAATACCCTTTTCTGTCCCACACACATGGAATTGTGCCCTTAGTCAACATCTATTTTGACGTCTCTTCCTCAACCTTTTAAAAAAGAAATCATACACACAAGCAAATTATAGCCATGCTGGGGAATGCAAGACATTGTAGAACTTTGTTCTGCCTAAACATGCTTAGGCTTGTAATGCAACTTTCTAAACCTATGGATAAATATTGCCTCCCTAGCAAAACTGATTATACGTGCATCTTCCATGTGGACCACTTCCCCTGCCCCAGGGCAATGCTGTCTTTGATGCACT